GAGGTGAGAGCCATGGCGCTGGCCAGAAATTCACTAATGCGTCCTCCAAACTTACTGGGCTCTCCCCACTCACAGACCATGCCCCCAACGTAATCAGAAAGTCGACCAGCTGACGGTGRCAACTGGAATGTGGAGAGAGATTGATGAAAAAGCAAACACAAGCAGCTTTTTTCGAAAATGTCCAATCAGAGTGCAGGAGACATTGTTATTTTTTTTTCTTTTAAAAAACCTCCACATCTCTCTTTATCTCCCGCCTCAATTAGTATTCAGCGTGTTTAATAACCAGGTCACTTTCTTTCAGTGTGAAGCCTCTGAAAGATGTTCCGCTCTGAGAAAAGTTTTTTTTCCCCGCCCAAAGCTCCGCTTCTAAATTGCACCTTATTTGTAATGTGCCTTTATAGTGTGTAATTTCAGCTGCTGAAATCATTCAAAGCTGAGCTCCTTTGGCAGACAGGAGAATGGAGGGAACTAAATGAGTGGATATTCTAGCCGAATGGAACCGTGAGAGTCATTCCAGGTTAATTAAATCCCAGCTTTGAGTCGGGAATGAACACAAAAAGAAAGACCTTTCTCTTTGTCTCCTGTACAATCAGTTGGATCAGTTTTCTACATTTCAAGCTGAGATTTGAAGCGTGCATTTGTTCATAAACGCACTTGAATGTGACATTACTGGATCCACAACGCCACCACTGCCATTGTTCGGATCGCCTCGTTTGAAGGTGCTCAGTGCAAAATCAAAAAATTTGAAATCAAATTAAAAAAAAATTAAGTAGATGAAGTGGTGCAGTTTGAAAGAGTTTATGCCAGTAGTTTTGCAGATATATTTGCATGCACATGTAAATTGAAGGTACAGTCTCAGTATAAACAAAGAATGGACAGATTCTGCCGTAAACCAGGGGGGAAGCTTGAGTCATGTGATTGACCTACATTAGGCTGGTTGTAGTTCGTGTAGAGAAACATGACAGAATCTGTCAAACGTAGAGTCTTGTGCAAGAGGTCTAGGTGGAAATATAAGAGTGAATTTGCTGCTAAATGTGAAAGAAAAGAGAAAGAGCAAGTAAGACAAGTGTCCAGATCAAATACTGGGGATCAAGCAAGGCAGTGCAGCGCCATAAAGAGACAGTTTGGTAGTTAAACATGGGTTCTTTTGCAAAACTTTTTCTAGACCTATAAATTTACTGTTTCAACCTAACATATATTTTCATTTGTATACTTATAGAAATCTGAATTAGATTTTAGATCTGGTCTGAAAAATATGACATAATGACATTGTGTCCAAGCCCGAATCCAACCCGACTAATTGCTTCTAATCAGAGGCTCGAGCCCGAAGTAAACCTGACATGTTTTAATTACTGTATTTATGCAGGTTTAATGTGATCCCCATCTTTTGAGCATAAAAAAGCCTAAAACGTCTAATCCTCATAATGCTGTCTCTAATTTCATGCAGACTAAAGCTTTTTCAGCACTTGCGGGGACACAAAGGCAGAGCAGCAGAGCGAGCTTCATGACGTTAAAAATGGAAAAGGGAGAAATGACTACAATTTGTGACAATATTTAAGTTATAGGCTGATGCGAGAAAATGTTTACATTCTTTGTGGTTAACAAAAAAAAAACAGTAAGAAATTACTCCTGTTTGATGTGGTTCCCCAAGTGTATGGATGATTGTTGGGGTAAATATTTTATACATGCATTAATACAGTAAGAATTTAGTGCTTTTGTTTCTAGACCGCTATAGTTTTTTTTAACAAATCAAATAAGAGTGGAGCACAGCAGGCCATGAGGCGTGCATTAGTTGTTCTTTCTTTCTTTCTTTCTTTCTTTCTTTCTTTCTTTCTTTCTTTCTTTCTTTCTTTCTTTCTTTCTTTCTTAACTGCACAAGTAGGGTTCAAATGAAGATGTCATTTCAAAACCTCACTTACAGAAGTGGACATTTTCATCAGTGCTGTTTATGATTTTTTAAACCAGATTCTAATTTGCTTTGCTTATTACATTAACTCCAGCTCATTCTATGTTACGATTGGTGGTGAATCACCACTTTTTTGCAAACGCTGACATAAATTTATCAGAACCAGTCAACATTTTATAAAAATAGAATAAAATGTGATGTTGTCAAGTGATTTATGAAGTTTCTTGTAACATAAGTTTTTTTTTAATCCTCAGTAGAAACCCACTGCTGCTTGTTGTTGACCACTGTGTGCATTCAGCACCATTACACATGAGAAATTGTTCTGTCATTGTAACATATATTATATTGTATATTACATAATGTATATTTGAAAAGTTCATTCATTCAAATTCACTAAATGAAGAAATGAATTATGAAAATACATTGTTTCAAAAAATGCCCTTTCTCAGCTGCACAAACACACAGACACAGCTGCACAAACACACAGACACACTGAGGTCATGGTCCTGTGGTCCATGTTTCAGGTGGACTTTGGGTTCCCAGTAAGATGCAAAAGCTAGCATCTACAGTTAACAAAATGAGCATCGCGTGAAGTGATACAGAGTAGCTTCGTAGTGAATGTGTCTGGTCAGCCTGTCCATTCGCCAAGTCTGTCTTTTATTGGAAAACTGTGGCTCATCAAGGAGGCAAATCAGATAAGACTGTTGAGTAGCTGAATTCCTGTTTTCAGCACAAGTGGACACAGATGAGATACTTCTTGCAAAGTTGCAGCAATTAGTATTTTCACTTTCAAAATAATTAAAGGGTTTAATTAAAAAGAAAGGGCTTGGCCACTCTCCCAGACATTTTCTCCCCATTTTCCTAATTTCCGAACTACAGTGAGCCTGGGAGTGGCCGGTAAACATTGGGCTTCATGCAAGAACCGTTCGTATGCACAGATTTGTTCTTAAGTTGTGCGTACGAGTGATTTAGGAGAATTTGTGGCATTCACCAATGTTTTCGTANAGATAGATAGATAGATAGATAGATAGATAGATAGATAGATAGATAGATAGATAGATAGATAGATAGATAGATAGATAGATAGATAGATAGATACCGCCACATGCATCTTCATATTAGGCTACATATGTCTGTTTGTGTACAAACTAATACTGTATCAGAATGTTATATATTTATACTTCCCATTCAACCACAATTAAATTCACTCTATCTAGGAGGCACAATTTATGTGGATAGTATTTTTTTACAATAACGAGCTGGAATAAAAACAAGCAAAAATGAAATAAAAGTAACAACTTTCTACTTCTTGCCTTTTTAAAAAATCTAAGGAGTAGAAAGTACAGATAATTGTGTGAAAATGTAAGCAGTAGAAGTAAAAAGTTGGCTGAAAAATAATTACTCAAGTAAAGTACAAGTACCCAAAATTTCTACTTAAGTACAGTAAAGAAGTATTTGTACTTAGTTACTTTACAACTCTGATTAAAAACAYGCTACTGATGCCAGACACAACCATCAACCATATAGTTTCGTCCTGAACCCAGCCCAAATTAGGGTCGGACTACAAATCTAAACTCTAACCTGAGTGTAAATGTGGACYAACACATCAGAATTGTTGGACTTCTCGACCTCACAAGGCTCTACCATGGATGAAGACATGTTGACCTAGTTTTTTTATCACTTTGGCTGTTTCCATTGGTAAACAAACACATGTAGCATCTGGATACAGATTGTGTTTACAAATTTTTAAGTTAATGACATCTTTACCAATTATTACTTTATAGAACTATTATTTATTTATTTATTTTTTTGACCAGCCTTAATGATATTTTAATGAGTAACTTGAAGCATGATTAAACTAGAGTTAAGTTTCAGATTAGCTTGTGAAAAAACATTTGCTTTTGTTCCTAATCTAAAATATTCTGTTATATTGTGACTCCTCCCCCAGCATGGATTTTCTGCCTCTGTTTCACGCAGACTGTGCATTTTTTCTTTCCAAAGGAAGTGTTTACAGTGGCTCGGCGATCTGCTCCACTACAGACGACTGTATGGAAGGTGTCTCTCCCTGTAATCACGATTTTCCACGTTTGGGTTTTGCTGTGAGGAGTTACTGAAGCCTCTCGGCGCGCTCTTTTTTTTTTTTTTTTTACCGTCGTTCTCGATAGGAGATTAACAAAGCGTCAGGATTGGGTCTCCCTCCCTGAGCTGCAGAATACGTTTGCCAGCCTCCCGCTGCTTTCCACTCTCAGCATCCCCTCATGGTGCCTCATTAAGATGCAGACAAACAAGCCCCTCCGACCCGATGCTACAGTAAGGCCAGGCTTAACGTGGCGCYGCCGTGCCGAAAAATTCACCGCGCACCGTGGCCTTCAGCAGGACGCGGCGTGTTCTTTCAGAATGTGTCGTCCTGGCTTTTCTGGTTTATTTTTGTTTTCATAGAGGAAGACCAGCATGTGTGTGTGTATGTGATTATATATGTGTGTTTGTGTGGTGATGGGTGCTTTTTTGTTGTTTTGAGAGCATGTAAGGAGAGGATGGTGGGATTAGGGGATAACATCTGAAGGTCAGCTCTACATTGAGTAGGGCTTAAGTGAGAGGCCAAAGATTTTATTATGAAGAACACATTGACCGACTCTGTTTTCATCTCTTTTAGATGCTTTTAAACTCCAGTGCAAATTTGCCAAAATTACAGACATTTAGAAAAGTGTATTCTCTCATAGTTATCTAGTTTTAGTTTCTTTGGTAGTTCTGCGACACACTTGGTGTGCTTTGTGTCTAACATTCCTCTGCACAGTACTGGATAATGATGTTTTTTACACCTCCTTGTTCCTGTTCACATTTTGCTTTCTGCTGATATGTGTCGACAACAACGTGCATCTTCTCTTTTATTTAATGAACTTTTTTTTCTTTATGAAAAAAAAGAAAGAAAACAAAAAAAAAAAACTGACCAGAATGGTGTTCCACACTTCGTGCACTTGTGTTAGTCGTGTCACRTTGTCCATGCACAGATCTGTATGTTTTGTATCTCTGGAAGAAAGCGAAACGTTCTAAACCCAACCTGTGGCATTGTCTGTTTCTTTTTCTTGTTCTACAGAGATGTTGAAGGAGTTGAACCAGCAGCGCAGAGCGAAAGAGTTTACAGACCTGAAAATTATTGTTGAAGGCAAAGAGTTTGAAGTCCACCAAAATGTTCTAGCTTCCTGCAGCTTGTATTTCAAGGACCTGGTGAAAAGGTTTGCCTTTCCTCCCTCCCTCCCTCCCTCCCT